CCTGGCCATATGAAGGGCTTCCTCTGAAAAACCTCTTCATCTTGCTTAGCAGTCAACCATCGATTCTATTCAGTAATACCGTGTTTGGACACTTTTATTTAGATGAAGATCGTTAGTTAAACCAAACTTTTTTCAGTCTTTATTACATCACAATGATTTTCTTTTCAGTGCGTTCAGATATTGACAAAAAATTGCAAAATTCAAGATGCCTCTTTTAAAATTTGCGGATCTTCTTGCTTAGGTCCCAGAGGAGATTTATTAACGCATTGAGCCAGAAAGCAAATGCGAATTACCTTCAACTAAGGCTGTCCACGCTGTCACAGTGGCCGCTTTCCTTCGCCCAGCTGGCAGTGTTAAACCAACTTGTTTAAGACTATCTCGAAGTGTTTTTCCGCCATCCTTCGATTTTGCTCTATCAAATCAAAAATCCAGTTCAACACTTACTCAGACTTTGTAATAACCAACTTTCCCTTACCGTTGGTTCTAATCGAAATCATTCAAGCCACATAAATTTGTATCGTTATAAATGTGGTATTTTTTGTATTTCTCATTATTAATCATTCAGGATTGCATGAAAACATAAAAAAAGTTTGCGAAATTAACGAAGATAGTAATTTCGGGCCGAAGAGAGCATGCCATCACGATAAACGAATCGTGAATGAATAATCGCATGAAGCATGCCATCGCATTCGTAAATCATAAGTGAATCGTGGTGACTGACCAAAACGAGTTGATCAACTTACTTCCTTAAGATACCGCCAAGAAGAGAAGCATTCAAGCATTCTGGAGGTGAGATACGTCGTTGGATTTCACCAACCGTTACATGGTATTTAGTTGTTGAGCTCAGCAATGAGGTGCGGCCAGGCACCGTACAGAAGCTATCCGAATGCGAGGATAATGAGCCGTGATTATTGTACAGTGCACTTGATGATGGCATTCGGTATGCAGTTAGAACGCTCAGCGAGCGTGGCTGACAGCCTTCGGCTGCGAAATCGCATGCTGAAATTTGTGATGGAATTGAAGGAGAATTTGATTTTATACACTGATTCAGGTGAAGTTTCGTTGGAGTACTGCAAAGATTGCAACAAGACATACGTTTAGAGACAGTCGTTGATAATTCAGTTGAGCCAGGTGAAGATTCTGGGCTAAGCTCCTGAAAAATGAGCTCTTGATTGTGCGATGCGTGCCGTAAAAAATAATTTATAACCAGAAATAATTTGAGAAAACCGAGAGATTCTGAATTTCACAAGAGGATTACAGGAATACTGAAAGTAGCAACCTACCGATAGAACGCCAACACTATCGGTATTCAATTCATCACGAAGTGGTAACTGAATCGGTTGTGATAAATTGTTCATCGGTTCCACTTGTTGTTGCCTCACAAACGATTCTGTTGAGCAGGACGTACCGTAACCGAACGCATAATGCGATGTCGGTGGAAAAGACATCCCATAGGCCATCTAAAAACTTCATTCATCAAACTTCGTCAAGATAATCTCTCCGAACATTCGTTGTCGCACCCGAGAGCAAAATTGTGATACAAATTTTTGATCGATACAAAACGTGCAAAAAGTTGATCGATC